TTGTAGGACTCAAACTTATCCAACAAGGCATCTGTGGCATCTTTGTCAGTCTCAGTCAGTGCATCATCATGTCCATCATAGCCATAGCCAAAGGTGTCCCAATTATTACTGTTGGGTGCAATGGAATTGCACAGGTCATGGCCATAGCTCCTCTAGTAGTAGTAGTAGTAGTAGCAGTACTTGTAGCAAGTCTTGGGAGGGAGGATTGGGTTCTCTTTGGTCTTGGAAGGACCACCAATTGCAATAATGACTGAAGAATATTCAGCATTTCATGGGAGGAACTGGGTTCCCTTAAATTTTGTAGTAATGACTACTAGTAATGATACTGATTGAACATTCAAACTCTAGTAGTAGGGCTGTTCTCAAGAGAATTAGGTTCTATTTCATGTTTTTGAAATGACCAATGGTGGCAACCATGAATGAGAGCAATTTAGTTCTCTTTTATTTTGGAATGACCAATTACCACAATGACAGATTTTTTGAGTGATTGGTTCTCTTTCACTTTGGAATGGCCGATGACAACAAGAACAACCACGGTAATTTTTTTGTTGTGGGAGCAATTTGGTTTTCTAAAATCTTGAAATGACTGATGACGACAAAATCTTGGGAGCAATTTGGTTCTCTTAAATCTTAGAATGACTGATGAGGATGACAATGACTGATTTTTTGAGTATTTGGTTCTCTTAAATCTAGGAATGACCAATCGCAACATTGACTGAACATTGAGTCTTGGGAATCTTAAAATGACTGTTTCTCCAAGTGTTTCTACTAGTAGTATCTGGCCTCATACTGTAAAAAATGAATAACAACCTTGTCAAGAAGGAACAAATTTATTTGCAAAACATGGGATACTACTAAGGTTTACATGGATTCTACCCTAAAAAAACAAGTTTCTTTTTGTTTCTTTTGGAAGTCCAGAGCAGTGAGAATCATCAATGCTAGCTACTAGTAGCTCCTGTCCAATATTGTTTAAGAAATGTGATAGTCCAGTGCACCACTGTAGCCAATAGCCAATGTAGTGGACTGGAAGTCTCTAGTTTTACAATGAGAATGAGACAAAAACACGAAGAAATATGGCTGTCTTAATGCCTTTCTTGGTGCACCAGTAAGCTCTTTTCTTCAACAATGCTCCTGTGTACAGGAACACCAGCAGATTATTCAATAGAATACTAGTATTAACTCAACAAACCACTACTGCCAGCTACTACTACTATAGCAGCAGAACAACACACAAAGAAAGCTCCTCTCACATTAAGGAGACAGCATGTAACGTTCCATTTTTGATTTGGTTGTTTGGACAACAAAAGAACATATCACTATGATATTCAAATTAGAAAAAAGACAATCTCATAGAAATAAACAAGCAATTCATAGTGATGATGGAAGAACTTTCTAGTAACCCAACTTGTGATGGGGCTGTTTGATCTTGAAAGAGTTATAGAGTACTAGTATATTGGTGTTTTCACGTGTGAACTACTGGTACTAGAAGAAGTGTAATTACTACTAGGAGAGACAGGACCACTGGTAGTGGTAAGACCAATCATTTTTCCACTATTAGTATTAGTTGTAGTAGTACTATAGAGGACGAGTTGTGGTACCACCCACCAGTATAGTACTACAAAAAAACCCAGATGGGTTTCATGTAGAATATTTAACAAAAGAAGAAGACATTAGCAATGTATTCAACAAATGGTTCCACCAATAAGAAGCAACTAGTAAAGGAGCAAGTCACTTCCTCAGAAGTGAAATCTTCTTGGTACTATTAGTTACAGAGGATGAACAAGCATTTGCTTTCTTGATACTGATCCAAAATGAATACAATTTTTGGGAGAACCAGTAGCAGAGAAGCAAATGATTCTACCATTAAATGGAAGAAAAAGCGTGACATTAGTATCCTGATCGTGTCAAGAAATTTGTAGTAGGTACTATAGTAGAGCTGTTGTAAATGGAACCAAACATAAAAAAATACTCTTCCTCTGTGAGGAATAGATACTACTGCCCAACCTGTAGTTGTGCAATATTTTTTCAGTAGTAATAGTTGGTGGCAGTCCTGATGGCAATATATTTTGTAAAACAAGAACCAAATCTAGATGGTATGGGGCCCCTAGTGGTACTACTAGTAGTACTATTACAACTAAATAGCCCCAAGGCAGACCCAACTTTCTTCCAAGAAAACCAGCATCAGGACCAAATGTAGTACAGTAGCTAGCCTCAAACCTTCCTGCAAGAAAGAAGTAAATCTGACCAGGTAAATTGGAACTGAACAACACAACACCTGTTGTTGCTGGTGTACAATTAGTAGTGCATGCTATCTTTTCAACAATCCAGCAAGTCCTGAAGTACTACCATGGTTTCTGCTACTACTTGTTGTGTACTGTGGAGTGAAATGTTTCATCAAAATCCCTTCAAAAAACTAAATGTGTACCTTGATGTTGAATTGCTTCTTCACTCTAGTATACATATTTAGGCTAGTAATGACTTTGACGCCAACGATTTGTGTGGGACCAGAGAATTAGAAACAATAGAAACCACATCAACTTGGAAAATATTACGAAGTACATGCTACTAACTGTATCCAGGATGCGTATTGGTTCATATCAGTGTTTTAGCAGGTCTATCTCTTTCCTTCAGTAGCCGTACGACCCGCCCATTGAGGCGTGGTGAAACGAATTAAATGAAAGTAGTACTGTAATAATGAACTTTACATTTGAGAACATACGTTTGGTAGGTAGTAATTGGATTGTCAATAGCTAAAAACAGAGCAGATTAGTGGAAACATCAGAATATACAACAAAAATTCTATTTCGTTTAAGATGACCAAAAACATTGCTTCGCATCCATACGTGCGGCTCCAGTGTCTGTTTCGGTTTGCTCTCTTTCCTACGACGGAGTTTCGAGGGCACAGATATGAGTAGTCACCTGTAACTACGGAATGGTCATTGAGTTTTTATCTCGGCTCTTTGAGGTTGCCAGACCGCTCGATATATTTGTTCGTTTGGTGGGCAGGTAGCRATACATGCATCCGCTGCGGCAATGCATATATGAATCCAGAGATTTCTGCCGAGACCACAACCGCCGCTTAYGCTACTRATGCTACGTACTCACAAAGAAGTGATCGAGCAACACGGACATGTGCCTCGAATCTACATAACGCCGGCTCAGCTCCTTGGTTTTGTCACACCGCTCGGTGTATTTGTTTGTTTGGTGGGCCGGTAGCGACGCATCGTCCGTAGCAAYGTACAAATGAAACCGTAGGTTTCCWCCGCAATTAAAGCCACTGCTGCGGCTGCCTASTGTAGAATACTCGCTCTCAAATGGCGTGGTTCGGAAGCCACCCCCGTGGATAGTGCTTGCCGGCAAGACCAACATCTTCCCGTAGGGTATAAACACGAGTTGGCCCTCGATCTCGATCGACCGGTCCTGGWGGGGGCAGGCGGTGGGCCATACCTGGAGAAACATGCCTTCCTCGGTGAGCGGGAAGAATCCGAGTTTCAGATGGCCKGGGCTCTGGTGGTCGCCRTCTCCGTGTTTTTCCAGAACCTCCCAGGGGTAATCGACGTGTGCCGGTTGCGGGATTGTGGATTTCGTTGCCAGGAAGGAACCTAGGTACTCGGCAACCTCCAAGGTGGTTTCCAGCGCCTCTTCGATTGCACGATTYGTACGGGGGGCAGGGTGCTCCGGGCCCTTCTCCCTCTGGACATGGTAACAGAGATTGTCGTTGAAATCGGCAACGGTTGACATGTTGTACAAATCGGGGGCGTGTTTTCTGTGTTGTATCATTTGAGTGGCAAAGAAAGGYGATACCGAATGGAGTCAGTCGACCAATTAGTCGGTTGCTTTCTCGCKTGTAAAAAGAATGCCAAGGATGGATAGATATAATGAAATCAAACGATAATAAAACGAAATCCAATCGTTGTCGARTGGAATCGAAACTTACCGTAATTCTTGGCACAGTTCTGACGAGACCMCAGACAACTGGCCCCCGAATTGCTCCAGCCATTCGCTGTGTTCTTYYTCGTCTCTGAGCACGATGATGCTAGACAACGAGTCRGATAACAACTCCTCAAYATGGATGGTTTCGTGGCCGTTTGGCACGGYAGTGGCAGAAGCATCGGATCGCACCATATTCTTCCACATGGCGCGAACCCGATCCCGGTCCGACAATTCTTTTGCTTCTAGCGGGGTTGCTTTGGAAGGAAGGAAGAAATTCGAAGCATCGAATTCGGGGTGGTAAAAGTCTTCGTCGAYGTTGTTATCGTTGGTTGGAAGATCGCGGTACCGACGCCTTGTAGCGTCGGAATCCCAGTGGTRGAGCACGTTTGGTGGCATATTGTTTGAATGTTAGAATCGCACGGTTGTAGTCGGCACGATCTGGAAGGAATGCTTCGTAGCACGTTTGGCTTTGTTGGTTAGTGTTAGTACCCTACTGATCTTGCAGAATTTAGTTTTTCAGGAATTTGGAATTGTGAACTTTCAGATGAAACTTTCTCGTCTTGCTCTTCTTCAGTATCGACGATTGGCAAGGTGGGAAGAGGAAAAAATAGGTTGCTTTCCAGAACGGTCGGAAGATGTGCAGGATGAGAACAGTTGGGGCACGAGTACGAGTGCGAATACACAGGTCAGTATGCACAATGCACATGCATGTACCGTATGCTAATTATCTTCTTCGAGAGGAAAGATACCTGAAGTACTCAGACCTGCTGGTAAATAGCAGTACGAGTTCGATTCGATAGCGAGTAMGAGTACTGCATCGTASGTACTCTTACTCGTATGAGTTCTTTTTGATTGGCGATCTTTTTTGATGTTGTTCTTTTTTTTGACACCACCGGTGAAAAACTTACCGTCTTCGATTGTTCTGCTTTTGACACGATGGTTCCGTCGGATTTTTCAAACGTGAACCTTCTGAACAATTATTTTTCGACTCGTTCGACTTCKGGAAGAACGGACGGACGAGAAGTCGGAATCTGGTTGATGGCTTCCCACGATGATGTGTTGTGAACGACAGCAAATCTTACGCTAGTTATGTTGCTGTGTCTGCAGCTGTGCATGGTACGTACACCATGCCGTAGTGTTGMACGACAACTCCAGGTTGTGAGTCACTSTTTTTTTTTTGATGACATCCGATTCGATACCTTGCTCTATCGTAGCACGACACCGTAGCGGACAGTACAGTACGTACGTTGGTGTTCGGACGAATGAAGAGCAGATKGGATAGCTAAAAATGGATAATAGCATTCGATTTCTTGTGCACTTGCGACTTCCTGAAGACCAACCTTTCCGACAGACCATCCTATCCCGTATATTATCGTATCAAACCCCAGCACCATGAAGTTTTCCTCMACGACTCTCCTTTGTGCTCTTTCGGTAGCGCCAGTAGCTGCCTTCACCAATCCCTCCACATGGWCTACCACCTGCCCAGCGACGACGACGAAAACATCACTCGAGGCCGAACGCAACAGCGGTATTCACAATGCCTTTTCGACCTTTTGTGCAACGGCTGCCATGASCGCCTTCCTGTGGGGATCTCCCGCRATGATCGCAGACCAGGCCACTTCTCACCAATTGCCCTTTGGCCTTAGCGAAACAGTCCAGCAACAYTTTGTAGCAGGTGCGAAGGACAAGGCTTCCGCCACCGGAAGCCGTGTCAACAAGGACGCGGAATCTTTGTTGCGACTGGGATTGCCGATCAATAGCAAGGAGGTAGGTGTGCATTCTTTTCTATTGGCGAAGAAGGCCGAATAATAGCTACAGGTGTTCTGATGTGTCATTTGAGCAACAGTCAAATGGGTGACTAAATTTTCGTATTTCACCTAYTTCATTTTTGGCTTTGGTGCCTCAACACCGGATTTTTTTATGTGCTTCCACACACTAACTACAACAGGTCCGAGAGCTGCAAACAAGCCTCGAGGGTATCAAGCAGGACATCGGATCYAAGCGAAAGGGTGCGGCGGCCGATGGRGCTAAGAAAGTTTCTTCGATTCTAGCCAGCAAGAAGGCCGACAAAATGGCGGCCGTTTGCAGGGACGGAAATTTTTGCAAGGAAACCATGAAACAAATCGACGATTTGATGGATCCACTCGAAAAGGCCATCAAGGCCAGCCAGGACGCGTTCACCGGATCGCTGGAGGAACGGGACGCTCTGGACAAGGCCTACAACGCACAAGTRAAGGCCGCCAAGCTGCTGACGGAGCTTGAGGAACAAATGGTCCCCAAGGGTTACAAAACMGAGGTGCCCGAGCAATATTCGGACCTTCCGCAGCTTCAACAGCGGGCGACGGTGGAGATGGTGATTAARAAGGGCGAGTCCGGTGCCCAATTCGATATCAATGGAGTCAATTTCCCCGAGGCTAGAATGAAGATGGTTATCGACGGTTACACATGTACGCTACAAAGAGTTGTTGGATACAAATATTGATTTTTTCTTTTTTGAAAAGATGTCTCTCACACGCACTTGTTTCTTGACGYAAYCCTTTAATACTTGAACAGCCCCRGTGACTGGCGGAAACTTCGTCGATCTTGTCAACAAGGGATTTTACGACAAYATGCCAATTCAGCGATCGGATGGGTTCGTGGTACAAACTGGTGAACCCGCTGGGGAAGCTGTCGGTTACACGGGGGGCAAGCCCAGTAAATCAATCGGGCAAGGGCCCAAGGGGGAGCGATTGATCCCCTGCGAAATCTCCATCGTCGGAGACAAGACTCCACTTTACGAGACCACCATCGAGGACGAGGGACGAGGTGGCGAGGCCACAATTTTGCCGTTTTCGGCTTACGGTGCAATGGGCTGGGCTCGAGACGAATACGATCCCAATTCAGGAAGCTCTCAGTTMTTTTGGTTGCTCTTCGATTCTGATCTTACTCCTGCGGGAAAGAATGTATTAGACGGTCGGTATCCATGCTTCGGTTATGTAGTAGAAGGAGCAGATTTCTTACAAGACGTYAAGGAAGGCGACGTGATTGTATCCGCAAAGGTCACTGAAGGCTTAAAGTATCTGAAAGATCCCAACTAAAATATGTGACGTTTCGTAATAGCATAAAAAGATGGGAATGATCGTGTTCCCGCGAACCTTATTCAGTTCAAAATACTTCGCTGTTTTCTGCTGTGTTGGTATCTCCTGCCAAGCAAGGCCCGTTTCCCCCAGCAGTCGGTTATATGGGAGCCATGTCCCCCCAATAGATGGCTAAGACATATCTGCGCGTTGGAAGCATGATGCAGTTGGCCTACTACTGCTAGATATAAGCTGCTGATTTTGTCACCATGATGGAACTTCAGGATCATTCCTGTATCAAAAATAATATAATTATTCTTCACTACTAGTATTGAATTTTTACGTCTGGGTGATGAAAGAATGACCTTGCCTTTCAAGACTTGTTTGAAGAAGCTCCTAGTACACAAGCTATTTGTTCTTTCTCAACTCGAATTTCTTTTCAGAAGAAAACCATTTGGACCCTCTGGCCTGATGAAGAAGTTTTCTGTATTTTGAAACTGACAGCTGCACTCCACCATCAGCTTGGTGCTAGTACTACTCGTAGTAGTAGCTTGATTTGCAAAAACGATTTCCTACTGATTTATAGAACAATTATGCATGCTAGTTCTAATAGCTGCTCTCCTGAATGTTCACCCCATAAATTGAAGCTACTGCCAGCAGCTGCAAGAACCACCAACAATAGCTTCATGATGGTAGTATTTTTCATTTTCTGCCTCCCCTACTAGTAGTAGAACAAATTTTATCCCCCACCAAGATAGATGGGAACTTCTTAGTATTAACTCAAGTACCGAACCACCAGTACATAAATTATTACATCTTCCATAAACCTGTTTCAAAGCTTGCTTGTTTGTGACATTCGCAAGTTATCCCATAACAAACACATTTGATCCACCAGAAAAAAAAACCGATATTGCAAGTTTTGCCCCCGAAATAAGGCTCCCATCAGAGTCCGGGTGTACATTCTTGTCCCCCCCCCTAAAAACTTTCCTCCCCCCAAGATATAGTCATTATTAATTTTTTCAAAGCGAGATTTTATGACAGGGCGTTGCGTACCGGTACGTACCCAACGTACTGGGACTCGTACCATAGTATCGTTTTGAAATGACCCCAACATTTATTTACGACATCCGTTAGATTTTTACGCAAACATTCTCGGACCGCGCCTTCTCGTTCCSTTGCTGTTGGATCCTTTGATGGAGGAAGTACGAGTATGAAACTTCACGACCAAAAAGGGCACGAGATGCAGCAGCACATAGCGGTTCATAAGAGACTCAAACATTTGATAGTACTCGTACTCTACCCAATCGGCTTGCACTGGAATAGCACTTACCACGGAGACAACGAAAAGGGCACCCATTCATTGCAATATCATCGAATATGGCCAGCGACGACTACGGAATCCAGCATTTTAACATCGGCGACACCTTGCGCCACAAAGGATTTTACGATGATTCCATCGCGGAACTCTTTCACGCAATGACTCTGCTTGAGACAAGGCTGGGAACTAAAAGCAAGGAGGTTGCGGCAACTAGTTACAGTCTCGGKCTGGCATACCGTGCCACAAAAGATTACAAACAGGCCTTGAAGCATCTCAACAGAGCACAAGAAGTTTATAAGRTCCAGAAAGGAGACAAGAGCGAATTTGCCGACAACATCAAGGATTGCAAACTAAATATTGCCCGAACACACCACAGCCGAGGYGTCATGTACCAGCGAAACGGAGACTACAACCTTTCGGTTTCCGAACACCGCAAAGCAATTGCCATCAGGGAAGCCTTGCTCGGTCGATCGCACCTGGAGACGGCACGAAGTTATTACGTGTTGGGCTGTGCTCTGAGCGACCGCGGAGACTTCGACGAAGCCCTTGGCGATTTGCGCAGGGCGCTTCGAATCAGGCTCAAGGTTTTTGGAAAGGATCACAYCGACGTGGTGGAGGTCGCCTCGAACATTGCCACGGTGATGGCCGCCAAAGGTGTTGATGCAGAATCCGTTGACGAATACAAGATGGTCGTTATTCGATCATTGGAATACGAAACCGAAGGAGATATCATGAGTCGAAAGGGTGACCTAGACGATGCAATTATCCTGTAYAAAAARGCGCTGTCGTTGGAAATTCAGTACCTTGGGGACTTGCACCCTACAACTTGTGATTTATACCTTCGAATGGCGGTAAGTTACGATTCATCCAAAACGTGATACACCCTGTCCGGTTGCATGTTTGTAAATCTCACCCTTATTTCTCACGATGGTTTCGAAATGATCTGTGSGACTCACAGGATGCCTTGAGTGAGTCGGGTGATCTGGAAGGGAGCTTGGTTGAGTACAAATCGGCAATCACCATCTACGAGCGCATCATGGGGAAATTCCACGTCAAAATGGCCAACATCTACACGAGGCTCGCCGGCGTTTTGATGGACAAGGGAGAATACGAGACCGCGTTGTCGTTTTACGCCAAGGCGTACGGTATTTTTGACGGAACGCTCGGACTCCACGACGACACCAAACAAGCMCTGATGAACGTGAAGCTCGCAGCCGAGAAAAATCGCGCCGCCGTCACCTCGATGGAGATTCTTGTCAAGGCCGAGGAAGAGTTCAAAAAGCGCCACCCGGAGCTCACGGCGAGCGTAGCATCGGAATCCGAYGAGGACGGAGAGGACGACGAAAATRGATCAGACGACGAGAAGAAGAAAAAGAAGAAGAAGAARAAAAAGAAGAAGAAAAAGAGCAAAGACATCGACGTCGACAACGGCGACGAAGAAGAAATGGATATTATCTAACAGGAGTGCGGAACAAAAATGCAATATCAGTCGTCGCATGCTGAACATCTCTACAGGGATGAATCGTGTGTTCCTAGATCAGTTTCTCTCGTTTCCGTATGTAGGTATAGCGAAGAACAAACAATAAGTGAAAACGTGCCACAATTTTTAAAAAATATACCCTTAGCTCGCGTCCGATTGTGATTTTATGGTTTGTCGGCATGTTTTGTTGTTAAAACAAKGAGAACTGCACTTTTGCGATTCTCTTGAGAGCCAAGCTCGCCAGCTATTCCYACTCGAATTGGTTCAAAAAGTCGAAATCAAAACCGTGGTTCGATCCACTCGACCCCATCCATCCATCCATTGCAACCAATGGAACGGCGACGTTTTCGTTCGAACCACCACGGCCCAGCGATGGATTGCGTTTGGCGCCGCAGTCAAYCAGTTGCTTCGCGGTTGGTTTCCGTCACCGCGTGGTGTTCGAGTTCCTTCCAGACGATTTCGGACGACATGGGCAGCCGCTCGGCAAAGAGAAAATCGTTCTGGAATCCCCCGTCGTGCTGGACACAAACTCTAGCGTGGACCTTTCGCACCTTGTCGCTGCGTGTTTGTTGCTGCTGCTGTTGCTGTTGCTGCCGCCGGTCGTCGCCGTCTTTCTCCTCTTCGTTCCGCTCGCCGTTCCCTCCGCCGCGGTGGTCTTTCCCGTCGCCGTCCTCGTCGTGGCCGATGCCCCTGTACAAATGCCCCGCCCACCTCTTGAACCTGGGCTCCAGGTGAGACCGGGGGGGTCCCTTGACCCACTTGTTCTTGCTCCACTTGCCGTGGACACAGACGTCCTCCGCGGGGAAGCAGTACGAGCCGATCGCAAAGAGCTCCTTGCGCTTGGCGTGGATCATCCCCGGCAGGCAGCAGGGCTTGAGGGCCAGGAATCGCACCGAGGGATTGTCGTTGAAGAGATCGATGGCGCGGAGGCTGAGAATCCCGCACAGGTGAATGCCSAGGACGATGACGGGGTGCTCGTCCGGATTGGAGAGATAGTGCTTCTGGATGGCCGCCAGCTGCCTCGAGGCCTTGAGGTCCTGCTTGGAGGTGTCGATGGGAATCGGCCACGTGTCGTAGTAGGACTTGCTCGACGGNTTCTGGATGGCCGCCAGCTGCCTCGAGGCCTTGAGGTCCTGCTTGGAGGTGTCGATGGGAATCGGCCACGTGTCGTAGTAGGACTTGCTCGACGGGTTCTTGGACACCGAGGGTGGTTTCGCAGAAGTGAGCGGAGTGGGTGTCGTTGTCGTTGATGATGTTGTTGTTGTTGTTGTTGTTGTTGTTGATGTTGCTGCTGCTACTTTGTTTGCACCTTCCTCTCGTTGATCCAGCAAAGCCTCGTCGGTGGTGCGGGTGTCGATTGGCGAGTGCTCCTCTTCGCTTTCTTCGCGGGTGGTTGTTGTTGTTGCGAGTGCTCCTCTTCGCTTTCTTCGCGGGTGGTTGTTGCTGTTGCTGTTGCTGTTGCTGTTGCTGTTGCTGTTGCTGTTGCTGTTGCTGTTGCTGTTGCTGTTGCGTCGTCGTCCGGGTAGGTTCCGTAGATGTGTTCCCAGTTGATGTGGTGTGGCTTCAGCTCGGCGTTCCGCAGCGGCCAGGCCTTGTCCATGAGCACGATCCGRAAGACCTTGGACGGCGGGAGCATTTCCGAYAGGAGCATTCCCAGGTACCCCTTGCCGGAGCACAGGTCGATGATGGTGTAGGACTGGTGTTCCTCCAGAGCTCTGCCGCTGTCGGTTTCTGTTTCGCCCTCGTTCTCGACCAGCTGCAGGACGGCGTGCAGCACCGGAGCCGCCTCCGCGAACTCCTTGACGACCCGGTCCGTGTCGAACAGGCGCTTCCAAAGCTTCGGATCGCGGGTGGCGAACCGCCTGCGCCACGACACAAAGGCATCGGCGGCCTTCTCGAAGACGCGGGGGTACTCCAGCGAGAGAGGGTTTTCCGCCAGGATTTCCACGCAGGCCCTACGGAATTCCTCGTCCGTGGCGGAGGCGACGAAACGCTTGGGTCGGYGAGTCCTCGCCTCGTTGCCGCTGCCGCTGTCGGTTGCGGTGGAGGAGCGCGGGCCCGACGGGCCTTGGTCGTTTTCTGGAACAGTTGCTACCCCGTCAGCACCATCGGCTGTTTCGGCTGTCGAAGAAATTGCAGACGACGATGTCGATGGTGRCAATGATTCTTGTTCCGACATATTGCGAGTTCGAGACGGTCGATCGAGTGCGCTTGCGACTACCAGTGCAAGGACCACGGCCTGTATTGAATGTTCTTTGGAAGTTTTGGTAGTAAGAAYAAAAYGGTCGATTCCTTGGCKGATTTCTCGCAATCGTCAAACGCTACTTGTACCGTAAGGTACGTACTCGTACGAACTTCGTATCTTGCAATGCCCGATTGATGGAGGCGCGAGAACCTACCGGTCGGCAGCACTGTCTGTCCGTCTTCCCCACCCATCAGAAACATGGTTTCAAGTCAGAAAGAAATTATGACCAGATTTCTGTGGCACAAATGTTTAGAATGTAGACATCTGAGAAATCACCAGAAAGAAAGACACCATCTGCTGCTGCTGATGCCGATGAAGTTCTTCATCTTTTTGTTGCCTTTTCGTTGTTGTTGTTCTTCTTCTTGCTGTTGTTATTCTTCTTGAATYGTCCTCCTTCTTGTTCTTGCTGGGTGGTGTTGGCTGTTCCTTCTTGTCCTCCTCCTCCTTCTGCTTCTGTAGGAGGAGGAGGAGTGCCAATATCAAGTTCTACCACTACTACCAATTGTTTCTTTTGTTATTAGTAACAGTAGTAGTACAACAAAAAGGAACCTGTTTTGCAGGGCATACGGTCATTCACGGGTATAGTAGGTATATTTAGTATTACAATACGTACCATTACGTATCTTGAAAGAGGACTTTTCGCGTGATTTCGCGCGTTTTGGACATGGGATCCTCCAACTGATCCTGAACATCATCATCTTTCGGTATTTTTTCACTGCAAGCTACCGCGTAAAAGAAACACGTCACTTCAAGAGGTAACCGTACCGAACAACTCAATCACAAAAAAGAAAACCACCAAGGATGCCTCATCATCCTGACGAGAAATCGTGACAGGCTCCATATTGAAACGACACAAAACGTCAACCAGACGCGAATCGTATCGGTTGTTCGATCCCTTCTRCCGTAAATTACTCCCCTTCCGGAAGCCTCCGAAGCACAAATACTTCACAAGCAATAGAACCACCTGACAATGAAGCTCTTCCTGACCATTGCCGCTACCGCCCTCCTGTGCCTGCACTCCGTTGCCGCCTTTTCGCCGGCATCGAGAAACGCTGCCGTTCCGGCCGCGGGCTACTCCACCGCTCTGTCCATGGGAAAGGAGGACGAGGATTTGCTCAGAAASGCGCGCTCCTCTCGGCAGGCCGGAAACGACGACACCGTTGTTGAGCTCATGAGACCGCTCGGATTGGTTTTGAACCAGGACGAGAAMGGAAATGTATACGTCGAGACCGTAGCTCCCAGGGGAAATGCCGCCCGAAGCGGAAAGGTGCGTCGAGTACTATTTAGGAACAACAGGGMATCAAACCCAATAGAACTCGAGCGATACAGATCGYCAGCAGTCCCAATGTTCCGTACCAAGCCTCACCTATTTTGCTCTCTCTCGTTTTCGAATTTACAGATCAAGGAAGGAGATATCGTCACCATGTGTTCCGCAACATTCGGAGACGACATGTGGTCCACCCGGGGAGTCGGACTTACCCGCGTTCTCGCTGCCATTCGTGTCCGAGCCGGTACCTACGTCAAGCTAGCGGTCGAGACACCCGCCCAGTACAAGACAAAGGCGGCCACGAGCACGAAACAGAGAMAGGCCGCCGCGGACGCAAGGGCAGCCGCCCAGGCGAAGAAGGAYCAACTGCTCGAACAATTAGAGAGAGACGAGAAGAAACTGACRAAGGGAAAATTCTTTGGCCTCTTTTAGGTCCTGCCCACACCGGAACGAATCTCAGAGAATGTTACGAAKACACTCACGGCATGGATTCTTTCGAAATCATTCTCAAATTATAACATGCTATAGAAMCATCCCAATTTTGCATCCATGGTGTCGTGAGTTTAGACAAGCCAAACTAAGGATGCAATTTATTAACCTCTACATGATAGGAAAAGGCAACAGCTGTGTTCCTTCAATCGTGGCGCTAATTCGAAATCGTTGTCTGTAAACATCTTAGCCAAGAAACAAAGCAGTGCGAGCCCTGTCAAAAAATGATGCAGTGTTGAGAGGTAGATTTATACTCGATCCGGAAAAAGAGATTGGTCCTTGTTCGTAGCTTCACGATAGATTCATTTTCTTCTAGAACAACTCGAAAACGAGAATGCTTGCACAAACGTCCCAGTGGTAGATTTTCATTACATACGGAAAAAAGATAACGATCCGTGATTCCGTAGCGATATGGTGCATCTATTTTCTTTTTTGTTTATCCTATTCCAATTTTCCACAACTTATTGTGAGCTCAACATACTTGCGATAAGCTCCACCCCGGATGCTTAAAAAGGGTTCGAGTTGCAAAAATAATTTCATGATCTGTGGTTCTGTTGCAAAACTTCGAGACGATTCCGCTAGATTTGCATTTCGAATAGAACGATCCAGCGAATCGGAACACGGCGCGTTGAGATGACAATCTATTCCCTAGGTCTGTCRCRCCGCTGTGTTTTGTACCCATTYGATTCCGTTCTGTCCACGTGTTCGCATTGCCACTGCCACTGCCGMCGTCGTCGGTTACATCATGGAGTACACCTCCTGCTGGCATTGCGGGCACACGCTCCGATAGACGGCGCCGAGCTCCCGGTTCTTCTCCAGGTGCAAGTCGTGGAGGGCCTCGTTCGCCTTGCGCTCCGCCGTAGCCATTGCGGCCTCGAGCTCGGCCCGGTGCGAGGTCCTCTCGCTCTCCAGGATCTGCGCCGTGATGCGCGTGACCTCGTCCCGGTCCCGCTCCAGGAACTCGCAGCGGCTCCTCAGCTCCGCGACGAGGGCGGGCCAGGGGTCTTCGGCGGCGGTGGACCGCACCGCCGAGATCCACGACGTGTTTGCGGAAGCGCTCGAAGCCGCTCCCCGYGGCGAAGGGGAGTGCACCGGCGGGGGCGATTCCACCGGGGACGAAGGGRCAAAGGCCCCGGACCGGTTGCCCGGAGTGGTTCTTCCGGAAGCGGAGGCCCGGTCGGCGGATTCCGGGTCTTGCAACCGCGATGGTTCGAACACTCCGGACTCCTGTAGGTCCTGCGACTTCATCAGCTCGGACATGCCCTCGAGCCGTTCCAGTTCGGCCCCATCGTTGGATTGCATCAGCTCGGAGAGAACCTCGAGACGTTCCAGGACGGATAYCTCGTGTTCCTTCTYCGGGCTGGTCAGCATCACCTTGAGGTTGTTCAGCAGATGAAGCGTCTGGTCCAAAACCTCCGAATCCGTCGTGGAATTCGATTCGTTCAGTGCGTCCCTGGTTTGTCCCTCGCTCTCGACCATGGAACGATGGGGTGTCGCCGGAGGCTCGTTTTCGTCCACTTTTWCGTTTTCGTCTCCGGCACCCTCCTCGGCACCGYTGTCCACCGCCTCGTTTTCGGCGGCGGGTTCCGGCTCTCGTGTCGTGTCCAATCCAGCGGCATCGTGTTGTGCGGAGAGCAGGGAACCCYCGTCGCTTCCATCGTCGCTGACCCCGTCGTTGATTTCTTTCAGGATCATGGTTCGTTCCAGGTCCATTTCTCCTATTTCTTCCAGCAGGTCGTCGATCTTGTTGCTAATGGACTGAGAAGGAAGGCTCTCGGCGGACTGGTCGTCCGAGGACTTGTTGAGGATCGACGAATGGTCGTACTCCAGACTGAAATCCCCGGGACCCGGCCCGCCGCCGAACGCGTGGTGGGCCGCTGGAGCCGCCATTCGGATCGGCGACAGCAGTTCCGAGCTGGCATCCCGGTCCCTGCCCACGGCACCGATCATCCTCTTCCTCTCGTCCTCCTTGYTGCTGYTGTTGTCGCTCTCGTTCGAGCCGGCAGCCTCGTCGGCAGCCGCCTTGTCAAAGCCGGAATCCAGCAGGAGCTGCTGCCATTCCTTGACCTCCCTGTCGTGCTTTCGTTCCAGCTCCGAGTACCTGGACCGGGCTTCCTCCAGCGCGGCGGAAGCCTGGGCCGCGCMAGCTTCYATCYGGCGTTGCTGGTCGTCCACCCTTGCCTTCCAGTCGTTTRCTTCCCTGGCGTGTTCGTTTCTCAGTTCCTCGAGGCGCGATTCCAGTTCTCTGGTGTGGCGGTCCCTGTTGGTTTCCTTCCACTCCGAGTACAGGGCGTTGGCCTCGTCGAGCTCGGCGGTCAYCTGCGTCGTGTTGAGCTCCAGCTCCCGGCGCCGGTCCTCCGCCTCGGACCTCCAGCGATCGATCTCMGAGGCCTGCCCGGCCTCGAGCTCRCCGATCTTCGCCTCGGCCCGTTCGGCCCGCAAGGCTTGTTCCTCCGCTCGGAGGGCGAGKTCCGACCGGATCCCCTCTTGCTCGGCGGCCAGGTCTCCCGCCCTTGCGGCCTCGGCCAGGAGCTTCTGMTGCGCGGCTTTTGCTTCCGAAAGTTCCCCGGCAAGGGCGTCCGCCTTGGATCCCAGCCGCTCGCACCGCTCCCGGTGCTGGTCCCTCAGGTCCTGGTTGGTGGCGATCTGCTTCTGCAGCTTGTCCAGGGCGTCCTCCAGGTCTTTCTCGGCCGCCTTGAGCTSGCGCTCGTGATCGGCCTCGGCGTCCCTCCGGGCTTTCTGCTCGGTCTCGTGCCTGAGGAGCAGCGCCTGGTGGTCCACCTCGCGCTGCCGGAGCTTGTTCTTGCACTCAAAGAGCTCTTCCTTCTGGGATTCCTGGACGCTCCGGGATTCTTCCAGCCGGGCCTCGAGCCGGGAGATGGCGGCGAGGGCGCTCGAGAGGTCGTGTTCGTTCCCGGGGGTGGTGTTGGCGTTGTTGTTGTTGTTCTTCTTCTCGTCGTTGCTGCTGTCGCTGACGTTGTCGTTGCCCCCCCCGCCGGTCCAAGGGGCCGCCCCCAGAGGCGGCGTGGGCACGAGGGTGCTTCCGCTACCGGGAGACGCGAAAAAGGCCTTCTCCGGGCCGCCCCGGGGAGGCGAGAAGAGCTCCCTGCGCTCGTGCTCCCACTCCTCCTGCTTGGTCCGGAGCCGGTTCTGCATGCTGGCGAGCTGGTCCTTGATCCGATCGGATTCCTCCTGCTGGGACTTCCACTCGTCCTTGAGCCTGGCGTCCCGGGTGGACAGCTGTTCCAGGAGCTCYTGGCCGCCGGGCGATGCCGGAAGGCCCCCGGCGTTGGGGCCGGCCCTGCTTCCGAGGCCCGCAAGGCCGAAGGAATCGTTCTCCTTGCCGGGGGCCAACCGTGGTTTCCCAACGTGCTGCCCCTTCCCAACCGGCTTGCCCGGGGAGGTCTCCTCCTGCGCCCGGCGCAGGCGGACGACCTTTTCCATGAGTTCCTCGTGCTCCGCGTTGGCCATSTCGAGCATGCGCTGCCAGGCAAAGGGATGGGCCCGCCGTTCGTTCTCGGCGTGGGCGTCGTCGTCCTCGGCGTGGTCCCCTGCCAAAGGTTTCGCCGTCCCGCCCGGGAGGCTGTCTTCGAGCTCGGAGGATTCCCACCGGAGCATCGCGTAGGGGTTGTTGTCTGTGGCGATCATGTTGTTGTTGTTGYTGCTGCTATTGTYGTTGTCGCTGGYTCTGCTGTYGTTGTTGTCGTCATTGTTGTTGTGGAAGGAGACCCCCTCGGAATGGCCGTGCCCCAGGACCGATTTGATCCCCTTGAGGTAGTTTTCCACTCCGTTGCTTCCCTCCAGGGAATCGTCRTCGCGGGTGAGGTCGATGTCCTCGTCGTCCTCGTCGCTGTCGTCGTCGAAGAGGTAGTCCATGCTCTTGTGGTCGGCCCCCATCTCCTTCAGCATCCCCCGGTAGACGTCGCTCCCTACCATGGTGGCTGTCTCGGCGGAGCAACGGCTGCGGTGGGGTGGGGTGGGTGGGGTCTTCGATTGGTTCGATTGGTGTGGTGCGGTGCGGTGCGGTGGAATCCGTCCACGGGCCCAAAGAAAAATAGTGGCTGCAATCGCTAGTGGTCAGAAGAAGAAGTAGGAAGTAGTACAGTATTGTATTTCCTATTTCATCAATCACGACGAATTGAAAAACCAAGGACCACAACAGATTTTCTGCTGTGGAATACAAGTACTACGGATGCCGTAGTGCGGTACGGTACGGCACGGCATTGTATCGTTCTTGTAGGATAGTGGTATGTCACGTTGTAAGCGAAGCACGTCCATGACAACCCCCATATGGTATGCTACGGTACTGGTAGGTAGCTTCCCATACGGGAAACGGAGTTCGATGTTGCTCGATTTAAAAATGAGCCTGCGGTTTCTGTGCGGAGCCCGTCGTTCCTCCCTTCTTTGCCTACAAGGGAACGTACAAGCAGTACGAGTATGCATCGTACCCGTACACGACTATTTGTTTTGGCCTAATACGTCATTTTAGAGCGATTTTGGCGTTAATTTAGAGTTAGGGATAATACTAAAATTGGATAGGAATGAAGCAATCTGATTGGCTAATTAGACAGATCAAAATATCGAAAACTGTACAGTATATCCCCCTGATATCCAATTTTTCCGTATAATTCTACGAGGAATTTGTACTAGGAATCAATATTTGCTTGTTTTTTTTGCTTGTTTTGGCTCTGGTTTCAAGTACCCATACTCCTACTAATGAAGCTATCATCCTCTTCTTGCGTCTGTTGGCGTCACTATCGAGGGAACCAAATAACGCTGCTAAGTGTAGTCCACGATGGTTGCTGTCACGCTAACTGACGTTGTATAGTAGGGCAACTAGTAGTGTTACCGTGGTGGAAGATGCAACAGACACGGTTATCCTTCCACGATTACTAGTAGCCGGTGGGGACTGCTGTGAGCAGCAGCAGCAGCAACACTTCGCACTAGGACTGCACTCGTAGCGACGCAGGAAAGCTGTCATAAATTCAATCCTAGCAACAAGCAACAACAAGGAAAACTACCCACCATGGCTACTAGTAAAGACAACAACTTAGGCTTGTTGTCACCAGCGGAAACGCAGGCTCTTTATACTTTGAACAGCATGGGATGTGAACAAGGCATGTCAGCAAGTTGCAACAGCGCTGGTGAAGATTTAGGAGTAAACGAACCAGGGAATCTTGACGAGGAAATGGAGGATATGGATGAAAATAGCAACAAGAACAGCTTCGAAGATACTTTTCCTCCTCCTCCAGAACAAGCTCCTCCTCCCCCCCCACCAGGTCCGCCACCTCCTCCTCCTCCTCCTCCTCCTCCAGAAGCTCCTCCTCCCCCACCACCAGGTCCGCCACCTCCTCCTCCCCCACCACCACCTCCTCCCCCACCACCTCCTCCNGTCTCGGCGGAGCAACAGCTGCGGTGGGGTGGGGTGGGTGGGGTCTTCGATTGGTTCGATTGGTGTGGTGCGGTGTGGTGGAATCCGTCCACGGGCCAAAAGAGAAATAGTGGTTGCAATCGCTAGTGGTCAGAAGAAGAAGTAGGAAGTTCGTAGTACAGTGTTGTATTTCCTATTTCATCAATCACGACGAATTGAAAAACCAAGGACCACAACAGATTTTCTGCTGTGGAATACAAGTACTACGGATGCTGTAGTACGGTACCGTACGGTACGGTACGGCATTGTATCGTTCCAGTAGGATAGTGGTATGTCATGTTGTAAAAAGCACGTCCATGACAACCCCCATACGGTATGTACGGTACCGGTAGGTACCAGTAGCTTCCCATACGGGAAACGGAGTTCGATGTTGCTCGATTTAAAAATGAGCCTGCGGTTTCTGTACGGAGCCCGTCGTTCCGCCCTTCTTTGCCTACAAGCAAGGGAACGTACAAGCAGTAGCGTACGCATCGTACCCGTAGCAGGCAGACCAACGAACCGTACGTACGTGGGTTCCCGTACTACCGTAGCCGAAGGCCGGCTGTCCCGCGGTGGCCGCGGCACGGGACTCGAACCCAAAACGCCATTAGGATTAGGGTTTTGTGGGTCTCCCGGCCGGCACTTTTTTTTTTTTTTGAACGGTCTCCGGGATTCGGGCCCGCGCTGGCAACAGATCCGTTGGGGGTGGTTTCGCGCCGGTGGGTCCCGAGGAGGGATTTCAAATTGCATCCCGGGTGTGCATGGTCCTGCACTCTCACGATTTGCCGGTCACGGGTGCTCCCCTCGCAAGAACCAGGAACCCACGGACTGCACGGGCCGGGGGGGGGGAATTCGAAACCGGAACCCGAGTGCCGGTTCCGGTGGGTGCCGTACCATACGGTAGTAGTCTACGGGTAGGTAGCGGTACGTACCCGAGTTACGAAATGGCTCTTGCGAGTGCCAACTCGAACGTGTAATTCTCAACTATTTTGTTGATCGGTTTGCTGACTTTTTGAATGAATCCGACGTGTGTACGGTACTGTAATGAGCCAGTAAGGTACGGTACGTTGTTGCTCTTTTCCAGTTTACGGCGAAACACAGCGAAGACAAAATCGACCTTGCAGACTGACCATTGCATTGCATTGCTTGGAGGAACCAGTGCATAGCACACCCGTCACTTGTAGTTCAAAAGTGTAATACCGGTGCAASCACCACCAATAACAGCCGCAGTCGCAGCCGCAATCGCCATTTACCGGACCCAAKCCGAGCGCGAATAGCACTGCGCGGAACGGTACCGTACGTTGCCAAGAACACTTCGTGTCCGAAGCCCTTTAGCATGTGGTCGAACAGCCGCCGAAGAAAGGCGAACGGCCGGTCCGCAAACGTCCGGGATTACCTCGGCATGGCCGASGGTGCGAACGAATCGCGGAGGAAGGAACCACCGTCCTCCTCCTCGTCGTCGTCGTCGTCGTCTTCCTCGTCGTCTTTGCCATCGTCCCTGTTCACGGCCCCCCAGGCGATGGGCACCGTCCTCGTCGAAATCCCGGAGGAGCTCGAGAGCGAAGGATTCTTCCCCGCTTCCGGCGGCAAGTTGGGAGTCCCCGGCAACGGAAGCCGTCGCCGGCGGGGACCGAGGGCATCCGGAAGCAGCAGCAACARCARCMWCRGCMWCRRCARCMWCRGCARCARCARCAGCMKCRRMARCARCAGCMRCAGCGGCCACCGGCGCTCGGCCGGGCGGGACGACTCCTCCGCGGTAGAGGAGCTCGGGAACCACCTCGGKGACCTCGACAACTACCTTCTCAGCGTCTTCCACATGGACGACGAGTACGACGCGGCCTCGATCTACACCAAGGGRACGGCCGACACGAGCCTCTCCTCCTCGTCGGGAAGCAGCGTGGCCAGCACCGCGTCCACCCGGCGGAGGCACAAGGGGGCCTTTCGGAACCGCCGGAAGGGGGCCGGAAGCGGCAGGGGCGRCGAAAWAACCGCCGGGACAAGCAGCTGGCTGGAGTCCATGCAGAACTCCTCGAGGAACGTCTTTGTGGCGGGGGGAGAGACCTGGACGCCGGGCAGGGGATGGGGAGGAACTCGMAGCAAGRCGARCCCGGGGACCGCTTGGGACGCGGACCCGGGCGATTGCTGGAAGGAGGCCGACTCCTTCTTTGCCGAAAGCACCAACGAGCACTAGGACAAGCGGTTCGCGGGCGGCGGAGCAGCGGAACGGTCGAGCGCAGCGGATGGCATCGGGACGATGGGCCAAAGCAGGGCAAGCCGGTGGTGCTCCGGTACCGGTGCTACCGCCGCCGGCATCGATTCGGTGTGCCCCGGCACTGCTACCAGGACCGTRGGTTTGGAACAACGGCGGTGTCTTGCCAGCCGCGCACCACTACTGCTAGTCCGGTTCGGATCCTGCGACAGGATTCGGCAGGAACAGCACCAAGTAGTAGTAACGCGTACTAGTAGTGACCGAACACAATGTGTACACGTTTTGTTGAGCAGCAGCACCATACAAACACTTGTAGAAACMATGGCACCCAGGACGCTTGCAATACGGTACTAACTAGTGTTGGAATTGCGTCTGCTAGCTACTAGTATCCCCGATCGTGCTCCGTAGCCACCGGAATCTCGGTGCCCAGTGAGGGCCGATCCGGCGGCCTTCTCGTTCTTCCTTTTGGTACCGTACGGTACCAGCTTTCCTGCGGGTATTGGCGTGGCGTGGTGTGGTGTTTGTTCACGCCTACATGCTCTTTTCTCGTTCGGGTCCGAGGTGCCACTGCCGTGCCGTGCCGTACCGTACCCAGGGTGTTTGCACTTTTTTGGGGTTTGGTTTTGATCGCACCATGAACGCGCTGCGCATCCCCGCTGTGGCGACGTTCGGGACCGAAGAACGACTCGTGGTGTTTGTTTGTTTGTTTGTTTGTTTGTTCGGCACCAAAGCAGTACGGTACTATTGCCAGTAGGAGTGGATGGATTCGGCAGGCAACTTCTACTGCTGCTACTAGCAGTGCTCTCGATCGATCCGGTGCGGGACGACCTTCTCGAACCCTTCTTGGTGGTTTCGTGGTGCTTGCTTGCTGCGTTTGTTCGTGTCGGCATTGGCGAGGAGAGGATTGTTGCAGAAGTGAGTGGGGGCCGGTGGTGTGTTTGGTAATATCTACTAGCTACTAGCCTGGATTTGGTGGTGGTCTTGGTGGAGAACCCCATGCCACGAGAAGGAGATCCAATGTCCTGTCTGCTGCTGGGGTGACAAGCCTTTTTGTTGCTTGGCTTTCCTGGTCAAACAACAGGGGGAAGAAGAAGTACTATTACTAGTACTCGTCCAAAGACTTCAATGGAACAGCTCTCCACCAAAAGCATTCTTGGAAACCCAGGTGTTTTCTGCTGGAAGAGGAGTGACTGGATTCTTGTTTGGATTGCTGTTTGTCCTTTTTTGTTTGGAAATTATCCACCACCAGGCATGATATCAAGGATCAGCAGTAGAAGGTCAGAGAGTAACACTACTACTAGACTACTACAAGCCAAGCAACAAGAATCTTTTGCAGAGGTCGCTTCTTGTGCTGGTGGCTGCAACAACAAGGAAGACGATACTTTAGTACGGCCACTGCTGCTAGGCGCAAGAATCCTGTGATGGGACGAAGGATCATTGTGTAGTACTCGTACCTTCCCAATCGTGGACCAGCTTTGTGGCTTGAYGCGTTCCTATTCTTCCTGAAGGAGTTGCTTCTGCTTCGGATTGAATCCAACGAATACATCGGTGTTCGAAGAAAGAAATCCGAAATCCTCATACCAGTTCTTCGTAATGTACATACCGTACGGTAGTACGAGTACTTGAGAACAGAGATGAACAAGTCGTGGATTTTCCCACATGAAATACACATACTACGCGTTTCGTAACAATTGAAATCGGCCTTGAAAGAGAGCAAAAAGTAATAATTTCGAGTTCTTAACTTCGATTTGAAGTTATGAACTTCTGCTCGTACATCATGTACCAGGTTCTACTGAAATTGTTTTTAAAATGACTGAATGACCGAATCGATTTCCCTCAAAACAAAACAAAATGGTTGGTGATTCAATTATGAATCCTGGCCTTTCAATCATTAATGCCATCCAAAAACTACCTCAGTAGAACCTCGTAGACTTTCTACTGGGACATTTTGAAGCTTCAAATGGAAGTTTAGAACTTGAAATTATTACTTTTTGCTCTCTTTCGAGGCCGGTTTCAATTGTTGCGAAACGCGTAGTATACACATACGGAGTTGAAGAGTTTGCTTCAGGGGTTCTGATTTAAGCATGTTTGTTTACAATAGTATAGTACTTATTTGTTTTCCGTTCAGATAAAATCCTAGGATTTTAATCGACCATGACCTAATGAAATTCGCAAAATCTCCAAAAGAATTCAATAAACAGTTGAGGCATTGCAGTTGCGCAGATACGGCGTTTTTACTGGTACATGTCTAGGTTGATGATATTATTTCCTCTCATCTGATTGGCCAAAATCCAWKTTTTTGGCCTGATCGACCTCGCAGCCGTTGAATTGAGTTCTCACAACCTACCTTGTGGAACAAAAGAAGATAATCTCCTGCTGGATGCTTCGCTCATTCAACTCCAACCACTCGGGTCAGAACCACGTGCACGTGTTGTTGCCTTCGTGCCAAAACTACTTTCAATGACCTTCCTTGGCTACGAGTAGTCACCGTATCCATYGCGTTGGATTATCGTAAAACTTTCATTTTACGTTGTTTTTTCACTGCGAAACCGAAGTTACKACTTGATCTCAGAAAGATTAAACTACGTCGTTGATTCTCGATTGGAAGCCATACCAGTAATCTGATTCTTTTCACAGCAAGCAATATCCATCAATATGGTCTCCTATCTCGATATAATGGCAGACGAAGCCAAGGAAGTGAAGTCGATCACATCCAAGTTCAAGAGCAAGGAGGCAGAAGATGGCACAACAGTCACCGTAACATTGAAAAATGCGATGACTTCAGTGACGACAAATGATGCCCTGCTTGAAGGTATTCCGGTCCAAAGAATGACTTCCAGGAGTGTTTGGAAGTCTCGTGTCATCACATTGTCGGACGACAAACAAGCATTCTTCATTACACACTCCAAAGTTCCATCCGGCCTCACCTCCCAGCTGGCTTCAACCCTGGCTCTGCCAATGTTTTCGTTGCGCAAAGGACTTCGCTGGTCCAACGACTCCGAACGATTCATCAGATACCTAGACATCGCTGACATCGATGGATGGCAAGTGGGGGCCATCGGAGTGCAAAAGTTGGAGAACGCYAAGAAGCCCATCAGCGAAAGTGAGAGGGAGAAGCTCGTAACCATTTATCATCATGGATTCAAATCCATGTGCTTTTCGATTGCTGACGAGAAAAATCGGCAGTATTTGATCGAAGCCATCAAGGGAATGAAAGCTMGATACAACCTGATGTACCCATGGATTAACAACGACCAACTCTTGCTCAGATATATCTACTATGATATTGACAAGGACAAGAACGGAACCGTAAGCGCTTCGGAATTCCGCGCACTCTGCAAGCGAATCAATTACRATGCTCCCTCAGATGTAGGCAAGACCTATGCGGAATTCGCAAAAGATAAGAAAGAAATTTCAATTCACCAGACGAAAGATCTTCTGTATGCTGTTGCGATCGGAGATGATGTTATGCCTGCCGAGGGTTTATGGGATAAACTCTYTAAGGAAGACAAACCTGTTGGACCAAAGAAATTCCTGCAGAAATTCCTTCACAAGTGTCAGGGAGAGTCCGATCTCACCGAAGCGGATGCAGAGCGATTCATTTTGAGCATGAAGAGCATGGGAAATGGAAAAAAGTCCAAGAAGATTACGAAAACAGAATTCGTTCACTTTCTGCAYTCCAAGTACAACGCAGCGTATGACCCTGCCGCAACTGCCCCGCTTTCCCCCACAACAAAGCTTGACAAGCCGCTTTCCAACTATTGGATCAATACATCCCACAATACCTATCTGATGGGGGATCAATTGCGATCGAATTCTTCGGTTGAAGCGTATCAAAATGCTCTCAATAGAGGTTGCAAGTGCTTAGAATTTGATTGTTGGGATGGACATATTGACAAGGAAACGAATGAATGCGTACCAGTGATATACCATGGGCATACTATAACATCGAAGATGCCTTTTAGGAACGCTTGTTTGGTGACCAACAATTATTTGAAAGCCAACCCRACATCTTATCCCATTATTCTGAGCTTGGAAAACCACTGCACACTTGATTTCCAGAAAGTTATGGCAAAAGATATGAATGAAATCTTCGGAAAGAAACTTTTCGTTCCAACGGAAAAGCAATGTAAGGGATCTGATCTGCCTTCTCCAGAGAGCTTGCGAGGCATGGTGATCATCAAGGGGAAGCGACCTCCCGAGCCGGACGAAGGAGCTTCCGTTACGCAAAACCTAGAAGACGACTACGATGATGGATTCAACAGTTCTGACGAAGACAGTGGCGACGATTCAGCTTCGAACAGTCCTGCCACAGATACAGGGTCCAAGCATTCTAGAACAGGATCCAAGCATTCTAGGAAGAAGGAGAAACCAAAAAAGAAGATCCAATCCGAACTTAGAAAAGTCACTCTCTTGCATGGAGCTCATTTCAAGGAATTTGAAAAATCGATTGATCAAAATCCAACTACGATGCATTCGATTGGAGAGACCAAAATCACTAAGATTGTCTCGAAAGCAGAGGAAAATGCAGACAAGTGGCGTGAATACAACCACCATCACATGACAAGAACTTATCCCGCTGGCACTCGTGTGGACTCCTCGAATTACAATCCTGTCTTGGCATGGGCAATGGGTTGCCAATTGGTTGCTCTAAACTTCCAGACTAGTGATAGTAGTCTCCTTTTGAACGATGGACTTTTCCGACAGGCAGGGGAGATTGGGTATCTTCTGAAGCCATCGAGTCTAWTGGGCGGGCCGAAGCCGGGAAAGAAAACGGTGAAAATCACTGTTTTGAGTGCACGCTGCATCCCAAAACCGAACGGAGAAAAGACTGGAGAATTGGTCGACGCTTATATTCAAGTAGATCTGCACGATGTTCGTGTAGGAGAAGATGGGACTGAGGAGCATGTGAAGGAATCCAACAAAACTTCAACAGTCAACAATAACGGGTACAACCCGGTTTGGAAGAAAGGAAATGCTTTTACTTACGAAGTTCACAACCCAGATGTGGCTATGATTCACTTCAGAATTATCGATGATGATTTGGGAGTGGACGACAAAATTGCCTCCTCGGCGGTCCCTTTTTCATGTCTGCGAAAAGGTTACCGCAATGTCCAACTATACGACATGCACAACTCTCGCACTGGACCCTTTGAATCGTCGACTTTATTTGTGAAGATTGAGCACTAAGGCACCAAAAGCGTCTCTTTGTTTGTGTTTTGAAAATGTTATTGATRGCTGCTATCAAGGAATTACTGTTAGGGAATTCCGTATTTTAAACAATTAAAAAAGGTATGATTTTATCTGTGCTTTTCATTTATCTTCAGTGATTACTTCATCGCCTTCTTGTAGCTATGGAGATCATTGCCTTGGTGATTTTTTGCAGTTCGTTTTTACGGATTATGAATGGCGGCATTGTATATAATAACTTGCCAAAAGGTCGCAACCAGACACCTTCTCGTACAATTTCTTGTTGCACAACTTTCATATCCATGGGTTCCTTCATTTCTACTACTCCTATTGCCCCCATGACGCGAACATCCTTCACTAAGGGAGATTCTTTACATGGCTCCAGTTCCCTGATAAGTTGGCGCTCGATGGAGCCAATCATGCTTGGCAAGTCATAGGATTTCAAAATATGAAGCGATGCAAGACTTACGGCACACGCCAGGGGATTCCCCATAAAGGTAGGACCGTGCATTAGGACACCAGCGGGTCCTTGCGAAAAGGCGGTGGCAATTTTGTTCGATGTTATCGTCGCCGCAAAGCTAAGAAACCCACCCGAGAGCGCTTTTCCGACGCAGAGAATATCTGGCATGACACCAGGTGCGTGTTCCATGGCAAACATTTTTCCGGTTCGCCCAAAACCCGTTGCTATTTCGTCGAATATCAGGAGTATGTTGTATTTGTTGCACAAACCCCGCAGCYGCTGTAGGTATTTGGGGGAGTAAAATCKCATACCACCTGCTCCCTGCACAATAGGTTCCAAAATAACAGCAGCGATCTCATCGTGACGTTCCTCCATCACCCGAGAAACCTCCTCGATATCTGATTCATCCCATGGTTGTCCAAACATAGTTTTGGGTCTGTCGCAAAATATTTGCTTTGGCAGGACGGATTGGAACATGTGGTGCATCCCATTGACGGGATCACAAACACTCATGGCCTCAAAAGTATCACCGTGGTAGCCTCCGCGAATTGTCAAGAATTTGGACTTYGGCGCTCGTGTTGACCCRGTGCTGGTGCTRCTAATATCAATGTTGTTGTCGCTATCGGTGTGCAGGAGATTGTAGTGGTATTGCAGAGCCATTTTCATGGCAACCTCRATAGATACACTCCCAGAATCACAATAAAATACCTTATCGAGGCGTTCCTCCTGGTTGCTGCATGATTGATTCGGYGATATCGCCTGGGTCAGAGTTTTGGCCAGATTTACAGCTGGTTCGTGGGTTAGTCCACCGAACATCATGTGCGACATGTTTTTGATCTGATCTTCCGCAGCCTTGTTCAACACTGGATGGTTATAGCCGTGGATGCAAGCCCACCAAGAAGACATCCCATCCGTCAAAGTCCTGCCATCCATAAGATGGATGTCGCACCCCGAAGCGCTTTTGACGGGAAAACAGGGAACCGAATTGGGCATGGGCGCATAAGGATGCCACACGTGCTCCTGGTCGAGTTTCTTGAGTTCTTCTRCTTCCATTTTTATTGACTTTTTTGTTGTTGTTTCGTTGTTCTATGTCCGGCACTGACGAGCTTTGTATTAGAAACGCCTTTCGCTTCGTTGGTTACAGTATTATTTTTTGAATAAAAATACTGACCGTACAACATCAATCAGAGAATCCCAGAGAGAAATCGAGATACGATAGATTTCTGATTTTCTCATCATTCCATCGATCGATCATCAAGATGAGAAGATCGCGGTGAAGATGGTTCGKTATTCATTCAGTCACGAAGTGGTGGCTAGGCGTGGTAGCCCAAGCTGAAACGTGGAGATGCGAAGGTGCTACAGTACTATTTTTTGCTATTCGTGTTGTTCTCAGTCCCGTAACCTTTAGGTGTGCTAAGGGAGAAATAGATACTGTACTACTAAATTACAAATTACGCTTCACTAGTCCTACTACTAGGAGAACTGAACTTTAGCCAGTAATTYGACCTTTGTTCGAAGTCTTCAACTCAGAGGGCTCCCTAGCTCCAGATGGGCTAGTAGTAATACATTCCTGGCTGTCAATAGAAGAAAAGATTTGTCCATCTTTCTTTTTTTGACTTCCATGATAAATATACTAGATTAAAGTATTGGGATCATATTGTCCCCTCTCCCCATTGGAAAGAACCTCTRATAACTTTTGAATGGGTAACATTCCAATCCACTTCAAGGTACTAAAAGCACGACGAAGCTGCTATTCATCCTCGGGCTGCGTTCTCTTACAACCGCAAGAAATCAGYGCGCAGCAACAGCAAATAAGTTGGATCGACACGGCAATGACGACTATACCCCACGTTGGAAACCGCTTGTATTCTACTACTTCAATCATATCTGCATTTCCTTGGGATTGCTGTGCATCAATCATGAGGCCCTCCCCGAGTATTCCGAACAAACCAAATTTTCCCTTCTTAGTCTGTGCCACACGAAAATACCCCTCCTCTCCCCACCTCGTGCCCCACGAGTTTTTCAGTTTGAAGTACGGCGTATCTACTKTATCGTCGAACCCAACCATCAGGACRGTGTGGTCAAAGCAYGTGGAATCGCTGCAAGAACAATCTCCGTCGTCAGTCAAGATACCGGAAATGTAGTTTGAAAATAGTACACAAGACGATTTCATAATGACGGCGATGGGTTTCTCCGCCAGAGCGAGTTTGAAATCCTCCATTCTTCTCTGAAAGCGTATCTCTGCATCCAGACCAACTACGGTGATGACATCGGTCGCTTCCAAAGCCAGTGGCGGGTACTCCTTTGTCAGGTTACAAAACTCGGTTGTCGTCCCATCGGCGTCGGTGTAAGGATAATCCCCAAGCGTAGTAACGCCCCCAAACCAATTATTCGCCGCATACATTGCAGCGACGGTTGCGGATCCTCCGTCACAGCCTAGATTTCTTTTGTTGCAYGAAAGAAATTGCTGGAAACTCACCGACTGGTTGAATCCATCCCCAAGAAAGGCAGCCCTACCAAAACACGGCAGCAAAGAAGGAGAAGAAATTGTGAAACACAGGTGAATATCAAATGAAAAAAGGAAGCGATCTTGAATTGCAACAAACTGCAGAAAAGGAGATACGAAATCGCCATTAACACACATRTTTATGCAATGCTTACCCTTCGATGGCACCGCAGACGCCAATCGCCCACGAGGCTCCGCACCGACCCTGATCCACTACCGGCGTAACCACACCGGCCGCAACCCAATCCACCTGTTTTGGAATGTCCGCCGCAGCCCATGTCATCGGATCAAACACTGGCAGCTCGTCYTYGGTCATCGACGTGTTCACGTAAAAATATCCACTTCGTTGCTCATACTCAAGTTGGGAATCTGCCGAGTAAGGTGTCAGTCCAAGCGTGTAGGACGACGTGTTCTGGTAATTGTGTTCCGAAATCGCGAGTGAGGATTTCTTCACGATTGCAAGCCGCTGCGTAGCATTCAAGCCGTCGTCAYCCGCATAGAACGGGTCRTAGACAGACACGAAATCATGCCAAGTAAGATCAGCAGCCTCGAGACAKACCGGAACAGTTGGCGTTGAGTTTTTGTCCATGCGGGCAACGCTTACGTATCCSAATCCGCATGGCCCACAGTTTTGGTCRCCCTCCACGGACAAATAACATGTGCGAAATTCCTTCCAACACCGTTCAATCCCAGCATCGTTGCACGGTCTAGAATCGTCTTGGATTTCTAATATTACAGCTTCGCTTCGAAAGACTGACAGGCAACCGACAAACCATATCGATAGCGGTAGTACTATTTGGGCGTTCATCATTGAAAGCAGGGAGATGATTTTCAAAATGAACCTTRCGGAAACCGGTTCTTTCGCCAAAACGGAACGACCTATGTAACCTATGGCACCGTGATTGTTTGAAAAGCAAAAATTGTCGAATAGTAGTTTAGAAAAAGATGCGATGGCTAGATGTGCAGGATCGTAGACTCCGCAGACTTCGTTGTTTGTTCGACCAATATTGCTTTGCTCGTCAGCCGATGTTATATTCCTTCARTATTCTTTGTTGTTACGTAGAGTGTCAAGTTGGATTGGTTCTCTACGATTTCGCTTCAGATAGTCTGATTGGGAATGGAGATGGATGTTTTATTCCTCCCCAAAACGTAACTGTGGTTTTCTTAGTTTTCGCGGTTCGTAATTCCATTGCCGAAACATGAGGAGATACAGTACAATATTATCTTTCGTACTAATCATGTACTAGTACTACTGTAAAAGGAAAGACGCTTTGCGTCCCACTTCTAGAAAATTAACTTTTTATCGCTCTCATTCTTCAAATGAATTTTGAACTATCTTGAAAGATGATGTTAGTATTTTCAGATTTTCAGACCGGCGAAGACAAGATGTGGCTGGAGGACCACGACCACCATCAAGCATTTAGAAGCAACAGAAGGGCGAGTTCATCCTGCACTTCCATGTTGGTGTTAGTTTTCGTGCAATTTGTGTGCTTCTTGTACTTGTTACAAGTACTTGTGAAGACACTGCTGTAGGCCGTGTTAGTGCAGAGGGCGACTTTGAATAATATAGTTTTCCTATAGCTGCTGTTGAGACTTGATAAAGTTATTTCCAAGAATATGTATGCAAGGCTCACGTAGGAGTTCAGCATCCAGATGGTAGGGGAGAATACTTGGGCTGTTCATGAAAAAATGCATCATTATGAAAACGACATTATTCTCGTCTCAACTTCTTATTTTGAATTCGCACTACTATGAATAGCATTTCCWCAGAAGTGAAGAACAAGAGTTTTGAAAGCCATCATTATGATGGAAGAATTCGCTTCAAAATTTCAACTTTCTGATTCCATCTATGAATTATTTTAAGGCATCAGTTATTAAGAATAGTACAAGAATTGCCTGAATTCTTTCTTTCACACAWYGTTTTTTTGTAGCCGTGGTGTACGAACATTATGTCATCATAATTGTTCAAGCGGACATGACCGAACCATGTTTCAACAACCAAAACAAAATATTGGGGTCTTTGGTCATTCCTCCCTGRCTGATTATGTGAGACCACGATTTGGAGCCTTCGTTGGTCTGCAAGAGTGCTCGTCGTCCGCATCGATTAAGTTGTAGCCAAAATTCAATCTTTTCCAGAACAGCACCCATAAACTTCCGAGGTATTACATCGAATCTCAAGATTTCCAGAGAATAGTTCCACTCGAGAGCTGAGGCTATTTTTTGCATCGCTTCGAAGCCTATGCATTGGASCTCGTGGTGGTTGTCGACCACCAGGTAACGCAGCGAAGTGTTATGGCGGATGCATCTGATCAATCCTTCCACATCAAGGGGCATAAGGCCTCTCATGCGAAAGTATTGAATGGTGCAATTTTTAAGGAACGATTTAGAGGTAGACGCTRATGGTGAAGACGGAAGTTGAAGAAGCGATTCCTTGGCGAAAATGTCAAATATTTCCTGCTGTGACTTGCTGCTGACACAACAATAGGAACAATCCATTCCCTTYAGCTTTGTTGCCGCTTCACGAACAATTTCRGGAAGCACCGTTGACAGGCGATAATTTCCAGCCAAACTTATSTGCTCCAGATCTTTGTTTTCAGARGCCTTCATGGCATCAACAATCAASGACCCATCGTTCGTGTCCAAATCACAGAGCGACAAATCTAGTATTTTTATGCCGCGCAAAGCAAACAAGTGATGRTAGCCGCCATTCAACGTGAAATTCTGGCGCAAGCACAGTATCTTTAGTCCATACAGTTTGCGCCGGATCGACTCACAGAGTTTTGGGATATGGTGCTTCGTAATTCCACAATTCATCAACTTCAGACATTTAACTCTCGATGAGAGATGAGGAACCAGTTCGATAATAYTTCCTTTTATCCAATTCATAGAGTCGTCTCTTTCGTCTTTTGAGATACTGCTGCTATGACTGATTTCGACGAGATGGTGATTTCGCATGCTGCTGCGGCGGACGTTCGGTTGTTGTTTCTGTTCCATCGGAACCAGCTGTGTTCTCGAGGATGGCCGCTTCTCGCATACAGGTATGCGCAAGCTCACACTCCTGAGATCCACACTTTCCAAGGAGTGCCATGATAGGATATCTTTCAAACACCATTCTGGAATCGGCGGGTTGTCGTTGAGGATTAATTGGAGATGGGTGATCCGCACTGGCTCGTGCAGAAACGCCGGTATAACTAAMTGCAGGACAGGTCCCAAGGCAAATTTCGGGAGCCTCCATCCAATGGAAATCGATGTCAGGCACGAATGTTTGTCCTGAGATAGCCGGTGATAGAATTTTTCGTTGATCACCTTGACCAAAGATTGCACGTCGCGTTTCGACCGGAATTCATCGTCGTCGTAACCAAGCTTCAGTTCCACCAACGAGTTCTGCGCCAGTTTGTTCTTGATGAGCTGGAGTTTATCCTCTTGATTATGTCTGCTCTTTCCAKTGGCGATCAGGTCTTTGATTCGAGTCATGTCCGTTTTGTTTAAAATGTTCGACGATCGATCTTTCTTCGTCCCGTCAGCACTATTGGTGACTATGAAACCTGCCAAGATATATCCATAGAAGGTATTGGGTGATGCGTTATGTATCTTTCAACTAGCTAGCTGAATAAAATACAATTACGTCCTTTTTGAAGAGCAAGTAAAAGTAGTGATTGCTGTGAATGTTGTGATAGAAATGGACTCCGCCTCCAAACTAGTCCCTCTATACTGTATCCTGACACATGGAAAGAACTGGAACAAAGAACAATCGAACAAAAAAGAAATGCGTTGTCAAAATCTAAAGGCATACGGTTCTGTTGATGTCGCCTCAAAATTTATGTCTCCTAGATTGGTTGCGGCTGCCGCCTTCGTTTTTTTTTGGGACTGCGGTGGCCAAAAAACTTACTACAGTGCAAAAACTAGGTTATTGCTAGTAGAATGACTTGTCACAATGACTGAATGTTTAAGTTAAAAATGAATAATTTTTTTTGGTAAAGGTACTAATTTATTTGCAAAAATTAATATACCGGGGTTTGTACAAATCTACACTAAAAAAAAGTTTCTTTTTGTTTCCTCGGTAAGTCCAGGGCTGTAAGAATTCTTCAAAGTTACTGGCTAGGCGCACTACTAGTAAAGATAGAGATAGTGAAGTGCAGTGCACCGTAGCCAATATTGCAACATGCGAGTTCGTACCGGTACCGGTACTGACTATACTAAGAAGAAAATAATGTAGATTGCTTTCTACTGTGCTAATTTTCTCTAGACCACCCTGAACACATGCTGACACCTATCCTGTCACAGACCAAAGCACCCCATTAGATACAGCAGTCATAAATTCCACCATGACAATATCTAAATGAAAATCAACCAAGAAATTATCAATGGAGCAGCAGCTCAGCACCATGGAAACTAACATCCAAACCATTGTCATTGTTCAAATCGACAGTCTTACCACTAACTAAGAGCCTATCATTTAGAGCATCAAGGCCAAATCGCTACCACTGTCCTCAAGGAAATCGGATGTCAAGTTGAATCCATCACCAACCAACTCAAGACGGACATCCTCCGCAACAAGAAGCCCATCAAACAGATAGCGGCACAAAAGCATATTGCTCAACTCCAAGCACAACACACTGCCATAGTTGCAGCTGTTGATGACAACACAACCACCAATACCTGTAAGGATATTGAGACAACCACCTACATTGTGGAATCAAAAATAGAGCACTCAGTCGAAGCTCATCTCAAATCTGTCAATGTCTCTGCAAAAAATACAGACCTTCTTTCTAACTCCCTGTCTACTAAGGCCATCAATTCTGATACATTTTCCACTCAAATGGATGCCACCATAAACAAATTTGTTGTTGAGTCCCAGACTCTCAAAGATGCTCTTCTCCTTCATGTCAAGAATGCTATGCAACAAGAAACCGCAGACAACACCAACATACATGTCCCCTGGACCAATTGTACCTCTGCTTGTGCTCCATCTGAAGATATCATCAACCCAGCAGACTCAGATCCATCTGCTGAAGACCCCAACATAGCCCCAAGCTTATGCTCTTGTGCACCCAAAGTCAAAGCGTGACAAATGAGAATGGAAAGAGACATGGCACACAAAAGAAACCATAGAATTGATAAAGCTATCAATGCAATAGACCACAAACACATCAACATGAACTCGATCGCAAATGACAACAGATATTTCACCTTTGCAGAATTCACAGCCATATATGCAGACATCCAGACACTCTTGACATTTGAAAGTCTCCCACTCACCCACATTGATGACCACAATGAGTCTGAGGAAAACATTCAGAAGATTGGCACTCATATCTACCAACACCTCGGTCAAATGATTGACATCCATCAACACTCAAAACTAAGAGGTCTCATGAGCCCATACCAACACACCATGAAGGGCTACAAAGCCCTCTATGCCATTGCNCGTCGTAACCAAGCTTCAGTTCCACCAACGAGTTCTGCGCCAGTTTGTTCTTGATGAGCTGGAGTTTATCCTCTTGATTATGTCTGCTCTTTCCAGTGGCGATCAGGTCTTTGATTCGAGTCATGTCCGTTTTGTTCAAAATTTTCGACGATCGATCTTTCTTCGTCCCGTCAGCACTATTGGTGACTATGAAATCTGCCAAGATATATCCATAGAAGGTATTGGGTGATGCGTTATGTATCTTTCAACTAGCTAGCTGAATCAAATACAATTGCGTCCTTTTTGAAGAGCAAGTAAAAGTAGTGATTGCTGTG